GTGCTGCTCTTTGCATTGCATTGGGTTCATGGTTGGGGCACACTGCTCTAAGGGATTTCCCTCTCCTGCGCAAAGCAGATCAGATGGAGATGGTTTATTCCTCACAGTTTCTGCTCCATCATCTGTTCTGGGAGGCTCACGGCTGTGGACAGGGCTGCTGGTGGCAGCCAGGAGAAGCCCTGCTCGTTGAAACTCCCTGAACACCAGACCTTCCTGCCAACACTGTTGGTTTGTGTGGGTCTGTGTTTTGGATGTCATTAGGAACTTTTGGAGGCATGTGGGTCTTTCTGTGGTGGCACCACCTGAGGCAGAGGCTGGCTGATGACCCTGGTTGGCCCAGAAAGTGACTGAAGGCAATGGAAATTGGTTACAAGTGTGCTGATGTGCAGGCTGCCTTGCCACTGCTTCGTCGGATGGAGATGTCCAAGCAGCTGAGGACAAGTAGAAGCTCAAGGTGATCCTTCACCCTTTTCATGTCACCCTTTTCATTTGATTTCCTTCTGGGTTCATGGTTGGGGCACGCTGCTCTAAGAGATTTCCCTCTCCTGCACAAAGCAGATGAGATGGAGATGGTTTATTCCTCACACCCAGCCCAGTTTCTGCTCCATCAGCTGTTCTGGGAGGCTCACAGCTGTGGACAGGGCTGCTGGTGGCAGCCAGGAGAAGCCCTGCTCGTTGAAACTCCCTGAACACCAGACCTTCCTGCCAACACTGTTGGTTTGTGTGGGTCTGTGTTTTGGATGTCATTAGGAACTTTTGGAGGCATGTGGGTCTTTCTGTGGTGGCACCACCTGAGGCAGAGGCTGGCTGATGACCCTGGTTGGCCCAGAAAGTGACTGAAGGCAATGGAAATTGGTTACAAGTGTGCTGATGTGCAGGCTGCCTTGCCACTGCTTCGTCGGATGGAGATGTCCAAGCAGCTGAGGACAAGTAGAAGCTCAAGGTGATCCTTCACCCTTTTCATGTCACCCTTTTCATTTGATTTCCTTCAGTTTTGTTTCCTAGACTACAGCAGCAACCCCTCGCTTGAAAAGCTACTGTTCTCCATTCACAACAAAGCCATCTCCAGATGGGTTTTATGGTTGTGAGCAATATTGGGCCGGCGTTATGAAGCGCAAGGCGCTGGCACGTCAGCTTGGCAGGGGCGTTACACAGCTGCTGTTGGCAGATGCTGCTGGTCCACGAGGGTCTGGAAAAGACAAGAAAACAATAGTTACCAAAGAGCAAAGCCCTCCGGGGTTTAATTGAGTTTTACATGAGGAATTTGGGCTCAGACAGTGGCTGTCCCCTCGCTGAGTGTCACTGCAGGCCTCCGCTGTACGAGAACGTCCCGCTGGGCTTGAGTCGCCTCAGCCAGTAGACATCATTCTTACCACCTTGGTCTGTGCAATGGTCTGGAGATACCATCCTAGGGAGAGGACCCAGCAAAACGCTGTGGGCTGTGTAACCCAAAGGATTACAGGTTCAGCAGGGTTCCCTGCTGAGCCACCTGAGTGTTTCTTGGGAGAGCAGAGACTCTGTGTTTTCCCTTTTGTCTTTTCCCCGCTCGGCTTCACGCGTCCCCCAAAGCTCTGTGTCATGGCAACCATCTCCTCCGTTGAGGAGTCTCTGAATGTAATAACTGCAGCAGCGTTTTATAAATACCCAGTTTAGAGCCTGTCTAAGAAATGTCACTACGCTGTTATGACAATTTATCATCCAGATGCTGCTTGTTTTTAGCAGGACCCTAAAGCCCGAGTTCGTACCAACTGTGTGGTGCAGTGTGTGAAGTGCTCTGGGATGTTGTAACGTGAGGATTTTCAGGCTTGGTTTTGTAGCAGCACAGCTCTATTCTATGATACCTGATGGTCACAAAGCCTCTTTTTAAGAGAAATGAGTGGACTTGCCTGAAACCTTGACTTCCTCCGCCTTGTGCCAAGTGAGATGCGGGCTGGCCGTGCTGTCCCTGGGGTCTTTCCTGTGCTGTCCCAAGAGTGTCCTTCAAGTACTTTGCTAGTGAACATGAAGGGAAGCCTTGTTTGAGAGGCGGAGATCTTTGGTGCCCCGCTGCCTTTCACTGCTCTTTTTCCAGAGATTAGTAGTTGAGGAGAAAGGTCATCTTTCTGTATGGGATTTGCAGCCACGTCCAACTGATGTGCCTCAGGCACAGCATCGCGCTCGCAAGTTGGATGCCAGCACTGGATTTTTCCCTAACGTTTGCCCAGGAGGTTGGGCTCGATGGCCAGTGCTGAGCCAGCAATGAGTTGGCCAAGGAGCGGCTCTAATGGGACCACAATCAGCCTGTTGTTGTGCCTTGACCTTAGCAAAGGGCAGCCGTCCTGCTCCTCCATCGCTTGTTGGAGTCTCCTACCTCTCCTACCCCGCAGGAGATGGGGAGGGTTTGTAAGGGAGATGCTCCCCGAGCATTCACTGCCTGGAATAAATTACTCCCACGTTGTTTTTCCTCCAGTGAGTTGTTTTGGCTCCTCAGCTTGGGACTGCTCGGAAGGACCTGATTTTCTGAAGGTGCTGAGTCCCCTCTTCCAAAAATGCCACCCCTTGGGAAGCGGGAATCAGAATGGTTTGAGTTGGAAGGGACCTTAAAGGTCATTAAGTTCCAACCCCCCTGCCATGGGCAGGGACACCTCCCACTAGACCAGGGATCTCAAAGTCATAAGGGTGCTTAGGAGTTGGTTGGTCTCGATGTGGTTGTGTGGTTGGACTCGATGATCTCGGAGGTCCCTTCCAACCACTAAGATTCTGTGATTCTGTGAGTCTGGGTCTCCACCTCAGTGACAAAGTCAAGGATGAAACTTTCCATGGAATAAAATGTTGGGGAGCAAGGTCCTTGCTGGAAACCGTGACTCCCAAAGCGGGTCCCTCCTTGGGTCATTCCCAAGTGTGATGAGACCCCCCCCGTCCTGTGATGCTTTTGCACCTCCAACCCAGAAATGCCAGGTCCACCTGTGGGCATGGCCCTGATGGGGCTGAGCTGGCTGGTGGGCTCTGTGGGGCAGGGTGGTCTGTGCCCATGGTGGCAGAAGACACGGCACAGCATGTCCTTCTGCACCCCCTGCCCGGCACAGGTGGGGATGACACACATCCCTTGGGTTTACAGTTTCCGTGGTGGTCGTTGGGAAGCTCAGAGACACTTGAGAGAATAAGGACCCAGCTCTGGGGTTAAAGCGTGCATTTTTGAGATGGCATTTCTTTTCTGGAAAGCAAAGTTTGAAAATATTTGTTGAAAAATTCAACTTTTTTTTTCCCCAACCATGCTTGTCTCCAGCTTAATTTAAGGCTGCAGGTTGTTTTCTCAGGGAGAAAACGTCTTTTGAAACTTAAGTGATTTTTATTAAATTTTTTCTTTTTTTTTTCACCATGCAAAGGCTAACCCCCTTTTCCCAGCCTGTTTCCTGGACAGGTCTCAATACTCCAGCATTTCCCTCCCGTACCACTGCAGGGCTGGAAAAAAAAAGCTGCTTTTACTGCAAACCCGTGTCTGTGTTTGCTTTCACCGTGGAGCACTGCAGGCAGAGGCAGCTGGTCAGCCAGGAGCTTTTCTCTTCTATTGTTCAAAGACCCACATGTTAAATATCACCTACTTCATGTGCTTGGAGCTCATGAAGTTCTTAAGTGTGATTTTTCTCAATATGAAACTATTGAGCTGGGAAAAAAAAAAAAAAAATCAATTAATGGAGAAGAAATCCATGGCCGCTGCTTGTCCTTAGGTTGGGTGAAGCAGTTGAATGAGAGAGAAATATTTGAAATATCTTGCAAAGCAAACTTCTTTCTTACCAAGGCCGATTCTGGGGCCTGTTAAAATCAAGAATGTTTCCGTAGATGCCAGCAGGCTTAATCCTTAACAAAGGAAAATAACATTTTTATCTACAAGAGGAGAAAATAGCAGTGTGAGCACAGGAGAGCAGAGAGCGGCCCGTGGCTGGTGGGGGCTGCAGGAGCAGAGACCCCCCGACCCCAGCACCTCTGGGCTGCAGTGCTGCAGCTCCACACATCCTTAGATAAAGTAGAAGTGACCAGAAAGCTTCCAGAAAAAAGTGAAATAGAATAAATATTGATTACACTGGAGTGTGCTGAAGTATGCAGCCCGCGCGATGTAAAACAGCCGAAGGACTCCTCCCTAGGACCAGCACTGGAAAATAATCAGTGTTTAAAATTTGATTATCAGAAAGCAGGAGGACTTTAATCTGTACAGATGTGCTTTAAAACATTTATTTGCGGGAACAAGGATGTTTAATTTCTAGCTATCGTTCCGTTTATAGATAATCCAGAAAAATGCCTACCCTTCTGTAAGCTCCTCTGCTGTTCAGTCAGTCTGGGCCTCGTTCCCTTCTCCCAGGGAAAGGAAAAGTCGTGTGTATCGTTCTGATGTGCTTTGTTGCCACTGAAAGGGTCAGCGTGCTAAATATGGGAGTAGAACAGCCTCTCCCATCATTTAATTAAAAAGAAATCTAATAACCGAACAGAAGAATAACAGCCTTTCCAGCCCGTGTGGCTCCGCGCCAGGGGAAAACATGATTTCAGAAGCTTATTTGCTCAAAATTAAAGACTCTTCCACAGTCTGGAAACCCAACCTGATTCCCAGTGCAGCAGCCTTGGACGCTGCCCTTCCCAGCGGGAACCTCGGCCCGTTGTATTGGCAGGGCCAGGAGGCACTGGGGGAGTTTGCAGAACAGGGGAGTAAAGTATAGTACCTCCAAAATATAAATATTAACATGGGATATACCCTGGTGGGGGGAGAGCACTCAAGCTCCCGGGCAGTTCTCCCTTAGTACATTCGATAAGATACATTTCCTACTGACTTATGCCATTTGCCCTCTTAGAGTCATTAGAAACATTGGTTTCTAGGAAAACCATTTATCCGTTGTTATGAAATTTCATCTGTAATTTAGGGAAGCTGCATTTGGTCCAAGTCCCACCGTTGGGTTGATAAATGTGTTTGCTTTGGATTTTTGCTTCCTTTTTGACTGCTGCTTTTGCTTTTTTCTTTTTTTTTTTCCCAGAAACTGCAATACCCATCTGTGCAAAGGACATCAGCGATGATTTGATGAAGGAGTTTGCTTTTCTTTCTGGTGAGTACAGTGAATTTCTCCAGGGGAAGAATTTCTCCAGTCTTTGCCTGGTAATTAAATACTCCAGATGAACTTCCGCGCTATTTGGCAAAATGATACTCTGCACGGGATATTATCCACCAGGTAGTCTCCAGTGCCACCAGAAATGTTGTTAATAAAACATTGAGGCAGTTTGAAAGAGCATATTAGGTTTCTGTCCCAAGCCGTACTGTAAAATATTCTCACCTTCAAATACTCAATGCATTAACAAGTGTTTTGCTTTGAAATGTGTTTCTGTAGGTTCCAGAGCAGTGCGCTGATTTCTCCTTGTATTTCTGACTTTTTTTGCTGTCCCATGTAAAGCAGGCTCAGTAAATAAAGTAAATATCTGGTGCCTAATAGGTTTGTTCCTACCACCTGTGCGTGTGTGTTGTGCTTGAAATCAGAGGCAGGATTTGACCCGTTTTTACAGTTCTGGTGATGTAAAAAACCCCTCTGTGATGATGGCAGCGTGTTTTCTGACCTGAGTGGTGGAACTGGGCTTTGGCTGCTGGTCCTCCTCGGGAGCAGGCCCAGGGCAGCAGCATCCTTGTCTGCGTTCCAGGTGGCCGAGGGAAGGACAAGGCTTGGATCATCACCCTCCCCGACAACGCTCGCTTCAACGAGGTGCCCGAGGAGATCGTGTCCAAAGTCTTAACGTACCTAACGTCAGTCCCAAGGTATGTGGCTCTTGGCTGTGATGGGCAGAGGGGTCAGTCCTGCCTGGGTCGGGACCCCCACACATGGAGGGGGGGGTGAGGGGCATCTGCAGAGCAAGCCAGAGGGAGAAGACATAGGATACAAGCCCTTACAGTGTCCAGGTGTGGTATTTAATGTGCCAGTAAATGCAGAGTAAAATGTGGACATCATCCCTATGACTTGTCAGCCTTTGCATGTACCATAGATTTACTTTATTAGCTTTCTAATTAACAGCAAGCTTTCCTTAAGCTTGGACATGTGTCACCGCTGAAATATGCCGTGCAACTGCCGAGTGATATTTTGACGTGTACAAATGGAGAGTCATTACCGTGGAAAAAGAGAAACGTAACCGGCGGAAGAGACTAATTACAGGAACGAGCCGTTTGGGGTCCCCATTAGAGGCGATGGCTCAGCAGCGTGTGGCAGGTCCCATTACCCACCCGTGTCTGGGGCTCGAGCGGGTGACAGTCTGCCTCTGCCACAGCCAGGGCCCTGTACTTAGATTAATGGCCCTCCTATTTATTTGCTGCTGAGCCTGGTGACTCAGTTACCTGGAATGCTTAATTTCCTTGAATAATGCCTGTTTTGGCAAATTTCTTCCTGTGGGGAGAGCAAGGTGACAGCAGCTAGATGGGAGCTTTCCATCAGTGGTGGCTTTGGAAGAGGTACCGTGTGTTTGGCCACCTCTGTGGGGGGGAAAAAAACAAGCCTCTGGTTCCTCAGTCCTCTTTTTGGGATGGACCCTGAAGTTTCATGGACTCCTGGCCCACAGAGCAGAGTCCCAGCGCGGACAGCAGTGTCCTATGATGTGTCCCATGGTGTGTGGCAGCCGGAGGGGTTTCTCCTTGGGGCTGTGTGGGCAGCCCCTGTCTGTGCATCTGCCTTTCCCAGCTCTGCTGGGTTTCTCCAGGGCTTCTTACTTCACATGACAGTGAACACCCTGGCATTAGCGTGATGAGCAGTCTTGCTGTCCCTGTAATAGGTCCAACTCCATCAGGAAACTAATGAGAGCTGCAAGCTTGCCGGTGATTCAAACATGTTCAGCGTGTTATTAGGAAAACCACTTTAATCATGCTTCTCTGTTCCTCCTACCAGCCGTAACAGCCTGCCTCAATGCCTGACCACCTTAAAAACATGTGGTTTTAGACACTTTGGAGTTGAAAAGGCTGTGGTGTCAGGGAGCAAGGAAAAGCCTCACGTAGGTGAGGATGGAAGGTGTGTGTCAGCTCTGGGTACACGTCCCTCAGCAGCATCACGTCATGGGATCCGAGCTCAGACTTTGGGCCAGAAAGTCCCTAAAAGGGGTAAATATTGAACCTGCATGTCAGAGTTAGCTGTGGATACACCAACACCTCCCTGCCTCATAGCTGTGGGTGGGTATGGGGATCTCAGAACCACCCAGGCAGTAGTGAGGACCTCTGCCAGCAGGAGTGAGGGCCATGTATTGTCCTACCAACACCAGGCTGGGGAAACCTCCTGGGGTGTCAGCTTTGTAGGATTTGGGGAAGCTGAATTTCATGAAGCACTTTTCTCCTGGAGATAATTGTTAGGTGAAGGAGATGGGTGCTGTGAGCTACTCATCGGTCCACAAGGCAAGGGCATTAATAACCAAGCCAGGAGGAAGGTGAGTCTTCTTAGGAAGTAAATTTTGCTTCAGGATTCCTGGGAGCTGTGCTGTTGCCCCTGAGCGTGCTAAAGCAGCACTTTATCCAGGCGTGGATTGAAGGCTCCTACACTGTAGGCTTTGCAAGAAATGCTGGTCTTTTGTGTACCCTAAAAGAATTTATTTCTTCCACAGTTAAATCAGAATTTCAGTAGAAGCTTTAAGAAAAAACATAACAAATCAGTTGAAGTCAGCTGCGGTGATTACAAATTAGATTATTACAGCAAAGTGTCCTAATCACAATTAAAGTAAAAGAAAAAAATTACTATCTTTAAGAAGTAAACAAATCCCACTGTATACAGGGTTGGTGCAGCCTCACCTTGAGCCCTCAGTGCAGTTCCAGGCCCCACAATTTGAGAAGGATGTGAAGGTCCTTGAATGTATTGAGAGGGTGACCCAGGTGGTGCCAGGGCTGAGAGGAATGTCCCAGGAGGAGCAGCTGAGGGCTCTGGGCTTGTCTAGTTGGGGAGAGAAGGAGGCTGAGGGGTGACCTGGTGGCTCTGCAGCTTCCTGAGGAGGGGACGTGGAGAGAGGGGTGCTGAGCTCTTCTCCCTGGGATCCACCTGGGAGTGGTTCAAAGCTGTGCCAGAGGAGGTTTAGATTGCACATCAGGAAGCGTTTCTTTACCGAGAGGGTGCTCAAACTCTGGAACAGGCTTCCTGGGGAGGTGGGCGATGCCCTAAGCCCATCAGGGTTTAAGGGGCATTTGGACAATGCTGCTAATAATGTGCTTTAACTGACTCAGCCCTGAATTGGTTAGGCAGTTGGACTAGATGATTGTTGTGGGTCCCTTCCAACTGAAATAGTCCTGTCCTACCCTACCCTATCCCATCCTATCCTATCCTTTGTTTGACTATCCAGCTTTTCGGTATTTAGACAAGCTCTGTGTGTTTCACTTCAGGAAGCAGAGTACAAAGTGACTTGGAGCTGTGGCTGATCACAGGGAGTAATGGCCCAGCGAAGGGTGCTGTTGGCTATAAATACCTCTGGATTTAAATATTAGGCGTGCTCTGATCCCACCAGCCACAAGGAGCCTCTCAGTCCTGTGATAAATCTCCCAACTGCACACTCCGGGATCCGATTTCAAGTCCTCCTGCAAAACATCCCCAGTCTTTATTTTTAGCCTGGTGCATCCTGCAACACATACAAAATTAAGGGTCAGGGCAAAAAAAAAAAAAAAGGTGACAAGAAGCACCCAGAGAGAAATAATCCTTGATCCAGTTATCTCTCTCCATCTTTTTGCTGCTGGATGCAAATGAACTCACCCCTCACAGCCTCGGTGAGGGAAAGCATTGATTTATTTTTATTGTCAGTCTAAAAGGTACATGGCAGGATGGGAAATCTGATAAACCTGCAAGGCTGCAAACAGTCCCAGACTTGCTCCACTATTCCCCAGAATAAATTAAAAATTTCCCACAGTAGGTTTCGAGGCTTTTGGACGGCTTGGGAACTTTCTTCTTTGTGTCTGTAAGGGAACTGATAAAAGTAAATTAACATGCTGAGAGGCTGCTCTCTGAATATAACCTTGTCCTGAGTAAATGCAGACTTTGGCATACTTTTCTTAACTGACAATGCACAAGAGTCTAGCTGCCTTTTCTAAATTACTTGGATTCTGGGGTTTTTCTTCAGGTTTTATTACAATGACAGCAGTGCTGTGTAAATACTATATCTGTTTTCTTTTTTTTTTTTTTTTTTTTCCAGTTGTAGCCTGTTGGGGAATACCGTGGGGATTTGGGGAATTGTTTCTCCTAGGACAGAGACCTACCTTTTAAAGTTTTAGGGTGTGCCGAAAAACCAAAGGGTTTTATTTTTACCTCAAACAAAAGGATTGTTTTGCCCTGCTCCCACCTGCCCGGGCCATTTAACTCGGGGTGGGGGGAAGCGGAGCTGACAGAAGCCTGTGGAATTGTCTGGCGTTCTCAATGTTAGCTAAAAAAAGGGTTTGGGCTGAAAAATTATGCCTGATTCCAGCTCACAATGTGTAACCTCGGACTTCATTGCGTGCAGAAGTTCTGTGTGTGACCCAAGTGTAAAATACTCCATTCCTTTTCTCTTCTCTTTGCTGCTACGCCTCGATGTATAAATTCACGTGAAACCTTTGCACTGTGGGTGTGACGTTAGAGATGCACAAGAGATATCTGTAGGACAGCTCGGGAGCTGGGTGCCTCTACGGATCTTCAGGCAACTGTTATTATGAGTCAAAGGGGATTTTATTACTATTTTTTTTTCTCAGCACAACTGCTATCTCCTTTTAAATATATTTGTCAAACCAGAGCAGCAAGATGTGCACTGAACGAGAGCTCCCGCACTGGCTTCGAGTGCCTGTGTTTTTTATTTTCCTGGAGTGAACTTGCCAAGTATTGTCTGCCATCTGATACTTCTGAGCAATCCTCCCTGTGTTTTCCCTTGCCAAACACAAGAATTACCGAAGAGGGGGGGGGATATGCCCAGTGCAAAGACCTGACCCGGCCCTGGGGAGCCAGCGTGTGTACTGGGAGGCTCTCGGCAGCACCCGGATAGGGTGGCGTGGGACGTGGCTATCCTGTTCCAGCGCCCGCAAAATAAATAGTGTAGATATTGCCTGAGTAGCCTGTAAATACACCCACGTCGGAGGACTGGGTTACAAGCCGGCATACCCTTACCTGTGTGCAAACATGATTCCAGGTTGTAATTCTGCCCCGGAGTGTGTTTTGTCACGGGTTGAGCCTGGCTGGGCTGGACCCGTAATATTTGAATTACAGACGGGAGCTGGGCTGTGGGACGGGTCACCCGCCAGACCCCGCGTCCCCGGTGCTGCTGGCTCCTCGGGGACTTCAAAGGCAGCTTCAAGGATTTGGGTGTCAAAAGGGATGTTGCTTGTGAAGCCAAGCAGAGCGGGCTGGGAAGTGCCTCCAAGCAATTGCTGCCTCTCTCGGGGTACCTCGGGAGGTATCAGCTGGTTAAGGACCAGCTCCCCCTGTCCCCCTGCCAGGCTGGCATCCCCCTTCCCTGCTTTGGTGTCACCTTGTGCCAAAATCAGCCAGGAGTCATTGCACGGTTGCTGGGAGCCGGGCAGGCAGGTAGCAAGCTCCCTGGGAGGGAAACGCTCAGCAGTGGTGGCAAAGATGCTCATCCACAGCTGGTGGAGGCTACTGGCCACCCCTGAGCCACTCAGCAGGAGCAGAGCTTCCTCCCACCCCTGCAAGGTCCTTCTTGCACCCAACACACGTCCACCTCCCACACAACGCCCATTGCGAAGGTGATGCATCACCCTGGGCTAACCCACAGGTGGGACTTCCACATTTCTTGCCAGAATCTGCTCAGGGAAATTGGGATTTTTGGCAATTGGGGAAATATCACAGCGTGGTTTGCGTTCTGTGCGCTTGGGTTTGGGTTGGGTTTGGGTTTTTGGGGGGAACAAAGTCACATTCCATCAAATTGGTATTTTCTTATCTCATAGTCAACATGAGTCTGACACCAAATTTATCCTAATCCTGGACAGAAGATTGGACACATGGACATCTGTCAAAATGACTCTCCAAAAAATAGCAGTAAGTCCTCTTTAATGTTAATTTCTTTTAATGTACTAAGTCATCATGCCCATTATGTATCACTTTCAGAGAATGCCGGGAGCCAGGAGCAATGATGCTCATGTGTTCTTTCTGGGTAGTGTTTTGGTTTATGGCCCTGTAATTAATTCACTCATAGCTCTGTGCCCCCTTTGAGTGCATAAATGAGCTGTTGAAGTATTAACTGATTCATTTGCTTGTTTTTGTACTTCTTCATAGTGGTTTACATGTGTTTCATGCCATGTTCTACGCTTTTGATGGGTAGAGGGATTGGCTTATTGTATGTTCTTTCTAGACACTGGTTATTAGTGAGAATATATTTTACCTAAGTGTTAGGTTCTTAAAACAGGCTACACAAGCATTTGTAAGTGGGCATGGGTGGAAAAGTCTCTTTTAAATGCATTTAATTTTAAAATACATTCATGTATGTAAAATATCTATTACAGGTTTACGTACTCCCCATGGTCAGATTCTGAATATAGCTCAAAAATAAGCTTTTTGCAACTCAGCGATGCGTTGTGTCCTATGAAATCAGAGCATGGTGTTACCGTAGTGTGTGCAAATGTGCAAAAATCCTGGATAAATAGGAGCACCATGATAAATGCTTTCCCAGCCAGACCATGCAATGAAAATATTCTGGGTGTATTATCATTGCCTTTGGTTCTGCTTGTCAAAGGCATGGGTCCATCTGATAGAGAATGAAGTAAACGCAATGTACTAAGGGAGAAAGCTCTTGCCTGATTCTGGTTAGATCTGATAAAATTAGATCTTTTCGTGTTTTCAGTATTTACTACTGGTCCAGCTGAACTTGGCCATTAAAAATGTCTGGGCGTTGATGGCATTTTGCTGATTGATAGGTGTCCAGCAGAAGGAGGAGAGGGTTAACTTTTCGCAGCGTGTCGGTACATTGGGCTCTGTTTCATCTGAATTTTCTGTCTGAATTTCCAGGTATGGTTTCCATGCCATTAGAGAAGCAGCAGCATTTGAAAAGTAGTTCTTTAAAGTGATCATCAAAATTCAGTTCTGCTGCCAGCGTTTGAACAGTTGCTGGTACCAAAAGCCTCCTTTAAGGATAATGTAGTTGCTTTGCATAGTTTGGAAGTTTCAAATGTGAAAAAATCCTGTCTTAATTTGTAGCTTTCATAGAAGTGTCGTTCATTTGGTGTTTAATAAGAAAGTTTAATTATTTTGTGACCTTTGAGCATACGCCCTGTGTGTGTACCTGTATGTGCTGTGTGTCAGTGTACAGAAGTGACTTTGCCTGTAGCATCGGGGCTGTCTGTGTAAATAATGCTCTGTGCAAAGAGGAATGAGCAGCAGGAAACCTGTGTCCACTAAATCTTAAGACTTGGGAATCTTGCCTTAAAAACAGGGTCTGGCCCTAAAGGGCTGGCTTTGTGTCCAGGAGTTTGACTGGACTTACCTTTGTGCAGCAAATACAAAGGATTAAAGCTTGATTTCTTTCCAGTACCCTAAAGAGCTGGCTTTGTGTCCAGGAGGCGTTTGACTGGACTTACCTTTGTGCAGCGAACACAAAGGATTAAAGCTTGATTTCTTTCCAGTCCTAAACCATAACCCATCCTACAATAAAAAAGTCTGGGTTTTTTCTGATCTTTGTGTCATTTTGGAATAAAGAAGTGCAAATAAGCTGAATTTGAAATACACAGGGTGTCCTATTTTTTCCAGCATATGTATATGCAATTGCAGCTCTGCGGTGGTGCATCTGATCCAGAAAAAAAAATAATTATATCAGACTGTAGAGATTTTATTTTAACTCTTTGCGTCTGTCTCTAATGGCATGGACAAACCTGGTATTACTTGCTTTGGGAAGTGAGGCCCTGCTGCTGGGGTCAAGCCTCAGGTTTTGGCAGGAGCATCTTTCCTTACTTCCCTACGAAATCCCAAACAGCTTTCAAACATTAATCACAAGTGGGGAGAAAGGGCAGGGTGAAAGCTCTGAGCTGAGAGGCCTGTCCTTGAAGGAAAGAGCTGGCCCCGTGTGCAGCATCATGGCCAGTATCAGGACCAGTGTGGCCAGTATCAGGACCAGTGAGGCCAGCAGGACTGGGGAAGTGATGGTCCCCCTGTACTGGGCACTGGCGAAGCCCCATCTCCGGTGCTGTGTCCAGTTTTGGGCCCCTCGAGACAGGAAGGACGTTGAGGTGCTGGAGCGTGTCCAGAGAAGGGCAAGGGAGCTGGTGAGGGGTCTGGAGCACAGGTGCTCCCCTCTGGTGAGGGAAAGGCTGCTCATGTTGTTTACCTGGAGTTTAGTAAGGCCTTTGGCATGGTTTGCCACATCATTCTCCTGGAGAAACTGGCTGCCCATGGCTTTGACGGGAGTGCTCCTCACTGGGTGAAAAACTGGCTGGAGGCCCGGCCCAGAGAGCGGTGGTGAATGGAGATAAATTCAATTGGTGGCCGGTCGTGAGTGGTGTTCCTCAGGGCTTGGTATTGGGGCCAGTTCTCTTCAACATCTTTATCAATGGTCTGGATGAGGGGATCGAGTGCACCCTCGGTCAGTTCACAGGTGACACTGAGTTGGGTGGGAATGATGATCTGTGGGACAGTGGAAAGGCTCTGCAGAGGGGTCTGGACAGGCTGGATGGATGGGCCGAGGCCAATGGTCTGAGGTTCAACAAGGCCGAGTGCTGGGATGATCTGTGGGACGGTGGAAAGGCTCTGCAGAGGGGTCTGGACAGGCTGGATGGATGGGCCGAGGTCAATGGTCTGAGGTTCAACAAGGCCGAGTGCCGGGTCCTGTATTTGGGTCACAACCCCATGGACGCTCCAGGCCTGGGGAAGAGTGGCTGGAGCTGCCTGGTGGAAAAGGACCTGGGGCTGTTGGTCAACAGTGGCTGAACGAGAGCAAACAGCATCGTGGCCTGTATTGGGAACAGTGTGGTGAGTAGGACTGGGCCAGTGATGGTCCCCTTGTACTGGGCACTGGTGAGGCCCCACCTCAAATGCTGTGTCCGGTTTTGGGCCCCTCACTACAAGAAAGACAATGAGGGGCTTGGAGTGTGTCAAGAGAAGGGCAATGGAGCTGGTGAGGGGTCTGGAGCACAAGTCTTGTGAGGAGCAGCTGAAGGAGCTGGGGGTGTTCAGCCTGGAGAAAAGAAGGCTGAGGGGAGACCTCCTCGCTCTCTCCAACTCCCTGAAAGAAGGGTGTAGCTGGGGGGGGTCAGTCTCTTCTCCCGAGGAACAGGTGATGGGACAAGTTGCACCAGGGGAGGTTTAGATTGGATATTAGGAAAAATTTCTTCACCGAAAGGGTGAAGAGACATTGGTGGAGTCACCATCCTTGGAGGTATTTAAAAGATGGGTAGAGGACGTACTGAGGGACACGACTGGGGGTCGTGTCTTGGGCCAAACTCTTCTCAGTGGTGCCCGGTGACAGGACAAGGGCACAAACTGGAACACAGGGAATTCCATCTCAACATGAGGAGGAACTTAGGAACTTCTTTGCTGTGAGGGTGGCAGAACCCTGGAAGAGGCTGCCCAGGGAGGGTGTGGAGTCTCCTTCTCTGGAGATATCCTAAACCTGCCTGGATGCGTTCCTGTGCAACCTGCTCTGGGTGGACCTGTTTTTGGGGTGAGGGGGGGGTGGGTTGGACTAGATGATCTCCAGAGGTCCCTTCCAACCTCGACCGTTATGCTGTGATGCTGGGACAGGGTTCGGTGATGGTTTTGGGCAGCGTTTGGTTAACGCTTGGACTCGATGATCTTAAAGGTCCCTTCCAACCTAGCCCGTTCCCTCATTTCTCGGATTTTGGGCATTCCACCTTAAAAACCAGCCCGGCGCTGGGGAGGAGAGCGGGGCTGCCAGCCGGGAGCCGCCGGGGCCGCCTGCCTGCCGGCTTCTCGCCGAGCCGGGGCTAGTTCGGGGGAGCACCGAGCTCGCCCACCCCGCCCCCCCCCGCTGGTGGCCGC